TTTTTCGGAAGCTATGGATAAATTTTCCAAATCAAACGAAGAATTGGTGGAACTTGAAAAAGCAAAACTGATGGCAATGAAGGGGCTGCAGAGAGACGCGAAAAGTCTGACGGATGATGTTTTAGATCTTTTAAATAGACTTTAAGGAATAGTATGTGAATTCAATAATTTTCTTAACACATTTAATAGATTATAAGGAAATAGTATGTAAGATCTAATGAAGTGAACTGTTTTTTTTATAGATTGTAGAATTACTCTTTAAGAAAATGGAATCAAATATGTAGTGATTTTTTTTGATGTTAAGAAAGTAGTATCCATATATGTAATACTCCTGTATTGGCAGTAAGAGCTAGTACCGTCCGAAAACACTACAGTACAGATATATCAATAAACACGTACGATAGAAAAGGAACACATACGTTTATAAATCTGTGTTCATATGGAAAAGTAGCTTATAGCGAAAGGCTGGCTTTAGTATAAATCGGCATTCGCAGCATACCATTGCGAATGACTCACTGGCGCTAAGCCGTTGAACATCTTTTGGCAAATAAACGTGGAAGAAATAGTTCCGATACTAGCAAGTCAATATTCTTATTAAGTCTCATCGAAAAATTCCTTGCCGTTTAAAAAATAAAGGGATTGCCGCATTATACTAAAGCCAGCCTTTCGACATAAGCTACTTTTCCATACGAACACAGAAATAAACATGTACACAACACATATACGAAAACGGCACTCAAGTACACAATTCATTGACAAACACGGTACTAGACTGTCTCGCTTTGATTTCGGAATGCTTACACATTGAGGAGTTAGCTTACAGTAGCTACACACGACGAGCATATCCGCGCACATGTCCGCCAACATACTCGCTGTCGTTTGCTACAGACGGCGAGCGGCTCATAAGTGATTTTGTACTCAAAGCGTAAACATGGAAAGGAAAGACGCAGATGATGCAATTGCAATGCTTTTAACTTAACTTTTTTATGTATGTGTTACTTAAATTCATTTATATTTTACTTGTATGTACGTACATACATATACTTATAGTAATTTAGCCTCATTTATCAAAAATTCAATTAAATAACATGGCTTGGATGCATTTATCCGCCGATGTGCACACTTCAAGCATCAACACAAAATGAGGTTGTTGTTTTTGTTTTCAATGCGATGCTCGCAAACCACGCTACAAACTACGAGCATGCTTGTTGAAAATCAAAATTTTTTGATTTTTGGCGAGCATGCTCGCAAACCGCCCTACAAACAACGAGCATGACCCGCAAGCCGCGCATGTGCGCGGATATGCTCGTCGTGTGTAGCTACTGTTACTGCCAATATACATATATGGTAGTATCTTAGATTTGGTGATATGAACTTTTTTATTTTCAATGTAATATACATATGTATGTATATTTCCTTTTTTGATTGAAATTTTTTATTTTATAAACCGAATGAAGGCTCTTTGGCTTTATATTAAGATGAAAAATATGAAA